AGTTAATCAGGAGCTCTCCATCCCACCCTAACAGCCCTACAGGTGCTCCAGGCCCAGCATTATATAGGAAAAGTGAACAATTTCATGTCTGCATCTGCACAAAATCTTTCTGAAACTAGAAAAATAAATGGCACTCTCATCATGCTTTACTCTTCATTCATTTGGTGAATTCAGAGTTTCTCAAGTGTCCATCCATACAATGTATTTTTTCCATCTCTATAGTGGGAGTTAAATGGAACCCTAACATCTAAACAGTACATCAATGTTATGTATGCAGCAGAGAAGAAAAGAGTCAGCTTATTTTAAAATTAATTAAAAAAATAATAAAATATAGTTGAAGGTGGTAGGGTTCCTTCTGCTAACACTGAAATCACATTCAGCTTAATGAAAAATCACCTGCTCTGCCATGAAGTGGAAACAAACTTCAACTGGAAAACACCTTTCACCTTTTGACCTAGGCCCAATACCACAAAAGCTCCAACCCCTAAACTGAAGCCACCTGATTTTGTCATACAGCAGTAACATACAATACTTGAGCACCTTCTGCAGCACATAAAAGGCATTCTCAGTGATCTGTAATGAGTAGAGTTGTGCAGAAAGCACATTTCCAGGTGTTTTACCACAGAACGATGCAGAAACCAGGGTGCATTCCATGTCAGGAGAGTTCGGCATCTACCCTGTGCTCGTTACTCACACAAAACCACCAGTACACGGCCCAGACTTGGCAGGACTCTCCGAGACACATGCTTATGCTTTTGGCAGAAGGGAGCTGACCACTTGCAGCATCAGTGTCCTCTGCCAGCTGGCCAAAGAGCACACAGATGCAAGGGAAGCAAATTATCTGCCCACTGGCAAAGAGAAATGCTGAACAGCACCTTAGGAAAAAGCGTGTGTGCGCATGTGTTCCCGTGTGCGAGCGAGTGTGCGTGTGAGCGTGTACACACAGACACCTGTGCTTTGGGAAAGAGCAATACAGTCAAACTGGGAAAATTGGCTGCTACTAGTCCTGTGGCATCATTTTCTGCAACATTCTCACAGCAATGAACAGGCACTTTCCCCATTAAAATCTTCCAAGTTGAATTTTAAAGATTAAACACAAGGACAGCAAAGATGCCAAAGTATATTTTTCTAAGAAAGTCTGAAATCAGACCCCTTCAAGAATGGACCCACACAATCACTTAGAGGATTTTAGCAACTTAAGCTTAGCACGTCTTTGCATCTTCCCTCTTTATTTATCTCTTGAAGAATGAGAGCTTGTGAAAAAGCTCTCATTCCCATTACACACCAACATTCAATAAAATACAAAAAGCCTTCTGGGTTCAGAAGATATATTAAAAAAAAGTCAGAAAAACTAATGGGACAAGAATTTGTAGCTGATAGGTTAGGTTTAGCTGAGAGATGGAATCTGCCTGCAGATTAATTAGATTCTGCAATCACAGCCCCTTTTCATCCGCACGCATCCCACCACTATCATTACATGATCAACAGATTTTAATGAAAACTAATGCTTTCCTTTGAGAAATTCCATGGAGGCTATGTATAAGGTTGAGTTTACTTTTCTAAATATCTCTTGAAAATTGTACATAACGCGAGTGCACATTTGTTGGCTGTAAAGGTGTACAACAGCAATTTTTTGCAATGACAGTGCAGAGAGGGAATATGAGATCTGTGTGCTAATGAGCTGACACTGCAGAGGCTGGAGCAGTGTTAGTATAGTGCACTACAAGTGCAGAGCAGAACGACATACGCGGGTTATTTCCAGGGAATACAATCTACAGAACTGCACACACAATTCAACATTAATACCAACATCCTTCAGCAGGGGTTATAAGAAAAGCGTGAAAGATGTTGCTCCAGTGACAAATTTATATATTTGAGTTGTTATAGTCGTATGATTTTAAAAAAGCCAGCTCACTCCCTGCATGAGCATTTTAAAAGAAAATATAACATGATTTTGATTTTATACATTCACAGACCAAGTTAACTTCCTTTCTGTTTCTTCTGATAGCAAAAAGCTGCATATTTTAAAAGATGTAATAATTTCCCTGGAGCCAACTGATAAACTTCAATTCACCTTTAAATACTCAGGAATTTTCATCTGTGTTTGCATTTGTTCTCTGTTAAGATATCATACAGCTAAATAAATAAATGGGCAGATAAATATAGTGGATTAATACTGTATGAATATGTGTAAATTAAATATACAGAGAGGGGCTCGGTGCTAGCAGTGAAGCAGGGAATACATGTACATAAATCAGATTATGCATCATTTAACTGAAAAAGGACTGAGGGGGAGGGGCTTGGGGCAGGAATTTTCTTTTGCTTCTAAACAAGTTTCTTCCCATGTTGGGATATTGCCAAATCAGCCGTACCAGAGGTGGGCATTTTTTCTCTGGCTCATGAGAATACTTCAGAAGAGGTTTTTTTCTCTTGCCTCTGGAATGCACCAGATTGCATCAAGCAGGATGTGCAGCTGTACAGTAAGAACATAAGTCTTTCCTGAGCAGAGCCCCCCTCAATTCCTGCACACATGAACACATACTACAGTCACTGCCATATAAATCAAAGCAAAGGAGAAAAAAAAGTATTATTTTACGGATACTGACTAGTACAGGCACCAGGCTCAAGCTATACATGCTACTTTCTCCAGTTTCCCCTCAGTTCCTGTACCTATCCCACCACAAAGTCAGCCCCGGTCTCCCTCTCCAGTGAAGGCAGGCAGTCACTGCAGGTTCCTCTACCATGGATCCCTGCCAATTGCAAATATCGATCAAACGGCTGTGTGACATCACTGGAGACAATATATGCTTATCTCCAAGTGAAGTAAAAACGTTGTGGAAAGAATTCCTTCATGGATGTGGTAACACCCTGAAATTATCTGCCACTCCACTAGGAAGCGAGGATGTGATTAAAGGTACTTAAGCTGGAATGTTAACTAGGTAATGGGACAAGCTTTTAGTTCATCCTAATGCATTGATACACATGAGCGTTCTGACTTTCAAAGACAATTGCTTCCAGATTCAAAAGACCAAATGTTCTGCTATTTTTTTTAATGTATTTTGAGCTACTGGAAACCTATGACTGGTGACTTGGACTCACCAAATTTTTCCTAACAACAGTATCATGAGATGGTTGACATAGCTATGGACAAGGTCACCTTTTCATTTTTTTTCTTCTGTTTCTTTTTGCACATCTTCTACTTTTAAATAGGTTACTGTAGGTTCATGTTTTCTGGTCTGCAGTTCCTCCAGAGATTTAAGTTTTCCCAATTTTACTACACTGGTAATATGGATGTTGGACACGCAGCCCTATAGTACAGAAAACAATCTCACTAAAATAACCACAGCTTTAGATAAGCAATGACAAAAATCATTAGATGTCCGAAGATGAACAGCACACTGACTAAATATACTGACTGCCCCTAAACAAGCGTATGGTTCACTTGTCTTGGTGGGATCTTTAAAGAAGTGCGGGTAGAACTTTTAAAAAACAATTAATAATTAATCACCTAAGCAGTTCAATGTATTTAGTTTAAATCCATATAATTGATATTTAGGAAAGTGTGTTTGAGATACAGCCTCTTGAAGGGATTACACTGATTAAGGATTAATAGTCTGATGTTTGTTGTAAGAGCTGTTGAGGCTGGATAGGATTAGTAAAATAAGATGCAAAGTAGAGACACGCTTTTATTTACCATTTTTTTCACTTTACCAAATATTTTTATTGAATACTACATAATTAACCCCTCTGCAAAACTTTTAAAGGTCCTAATTCAAAGCCCTTTGAAAAGCGTAATGCTGCACTAGCAAGAAGCAGTCACATGGGGGATATGTTAGAATATCAATCCAAAATTTGTCCAAATATTTCCTTATTGGATATTTTCTAACCATCAACTTTCTCAGAATATACAGTGGGACAGAGGAATATAAGAACTATTCTATCCCCAATAACAAAAAAAATAAAGAAATAAGATATTCAAAACATGAAATTGTTTTAAAGTAAAAGATATAAGTTTTCTGTACTCTAGTACTTCACTATATTAGTACAATGCTTCCTGTTTGAACATTTTATGCTGTGAATATAAACCTGCATAGTGTGAGAGGAAACCTGTTTCAACACAAAGTTACTACGTTGCATTCAAAGGTCCTTTAGATCATGTACAGACATAAATCTGCACATTGCAAAGTGCATCAACTAAGAGGACTCCTTTCATTTTCAAAGGTTCAAAATCAAAATTGTATAGAACTGAATTTGGAGACATCAGTAAAACAAATATCCAGGAACTACTATTGGTAAAGGAATGCTTTTTAAAATGCAGAACACGCACATCTCTTTCTGAAAGAGATTTCGCATTTTAACACCACATTAGCAATACTTAAAGTTCTGTTTTGCATCTTCTGTTAATAAAAGCTGAGATTATACGTATGCACTGCTTGTGCAAAGCTATTTCTCATAATGCCAAGCGTTCTGATCCCATTTTCTCTCCCCTCAGCTCTAACGGTATCTGTCAGTTTACAGTCAGGCTCCTCAGCTTTTCACAGGACTCGCACTGTAAGAAAACAACTCAGTATTTCAGGGCAGAGGAGGCAAATAAGCCCCTCTAGCTTTGTCCCCTCAAGGTCATGTCTAAACAGTTGTTTCTGATCTTTTCCTACATGGCACTATATGCAAATTATGCCTTTTCACACACCCAGGTTCCAGCCTCAACAGAAAAGGGATCTTCAGCGGCAATTCACTGATCACAGCTACACAGCACTGATATACCAACAACATGGTTGTTTTTCTGGAAAACAAAACTAAAGGGATGAAAAGAAGCGGTGAGAGAACTTTTCCTAAGGTACTATTCAACCACATAATGCTGCAAATCTACTAAACCTCAAGTCACTGCACACATTTGTTGCACTGTATTACATGACTGAGAACTCCAGGCTACCAGGGAGAAACTGAATGTAAAGATACATAACAAATAAAAATCTTTTAAAAACCATGTATTTACTTACAAGCATTTGTCACTGAAAAGCTGTTGGAAGAGTCCAAGTGATCTACATGATAGTTCAAATGGAAGGGCTTTTCTGTGGTATTTTGGTTTGTGTTGTATAACTGCACAGCAAATCGAAACGCACTGTGCTCCTGAACAGTGTTCCTCATGAAAAGTCCACCTAGGATGGAAAAAAAAAGGATAAAAATGGAAAAGGTATTTCAGAATGGATTTTGAGGAGAAACAGTGCCAATAAGTTACATTTGCATGCTGCACACTGCAGGAAAGAATGAAAAGGAGCAGGCTGAACCTGAGCACATAACTCTGACAGATCACCTACATGAAATACATATTCCAAGCCCAAAGTTAGGCTTTTAAAGCTACACATCACATCCAGCTGCCCCCGAGCGATGGGAGTCACTGGGAGCTGCAGGTGCACCTTGAAAACCAGGCCACTTCCACACGGATGCCCACACAGAGCTTTAAAAGTCTAACGTGGGGGACCGTGGCTCCTAAATCATCTCCAGACTACCGAAATATCGCCACTGTAGAGTTATGTGCGAGGACACGGCGGCGTGGCAAACGTGCGGTTTCACGGTCTGGTGGAGCGATAGCACGGCCGAGCCAAAGGATGCTCCGAGGGACGGCAGGGAACAGCCCCCGCTTCACTCGCTGCCCTCAGCCTCACGGCTCCCTCGGCCCCGGGTTTAGGGCACGTCGCTACAGATTCCCGCCGTGACTCTCTCACATTATGTGCTCCACGGGATGTGCCGCTCCAGGGCACGGTTCCGCAGAGCGCGGACCCGATCCCCGCCGCTGGCAGGGGAGCGGGAGCCCGGCGCCGCTCGCAGCCGCCCGCCAGCGCAGCCCCCGGGCACCGCCGCTGCCTCTCGCCCTCAGCGAGGGGAAGGAACCGGAGCGGGGCTGGCTCCCTCCCGGCGGCGCCCGGGCTCGCCCCCCGCTCCCCTCCGCACAACTTCCCCTCGGCTGGCGGGGAAGGCGCGGGTCGCGGTGCCGCGGCGGGCGCTTACCTATACTGATGGTGTTGGGGAACCCCGCCAGAGCCTCCCCCAGCAGCCCCGCCAGCAGCAGCAGGAGGGTCCGGGGCGCGCTCTGCCCCATTTTCTTCAGCCCCTGCGGTTCAGCCCCTAAACCGAAACTGGCGGCACAGGCATGGGCGCAACTGGAGACTCGGAGCGGTGTCAGTGGTGGTGGCGATGCTGGCGGAGGTGGTGGGGAGGATGGTCCCCCTCCTTTCTTCCCTTCTTCTTTTTTTTTTTTTTTCCTCTTTCCTTCCCCAAATCCCTCTGCTCTCGTCTTCACCCCAGCCTGGCAGGGCTCATTGGCTGCGAGATTGCCTTTCTCCCCCCCGTCTCCAGCAGCCCCCCCCCAGCGCAGGGACTTCCCCCAAAGATGGTGGGTAGCGGAGCCGGCGAGGCTGCTCCGCCCGGGCCGGGAGGGGGTTATCGATCAAACTTGGCGTGAGGCGGGCTGGCAGCCGCTCCGCTCCGCTCGGCCCGCCCGCCCAGCCCCGGCGCCGCCGTCTCCCGGCCGCGGCTCCGCGCTCGGGGCTGCGGTCGGCGGGAGCGCACCGGCCTCACGTGGGGCGGCCCCCGGGCTGCAGCTGCCCCTTTAAAGCTGCATCGCCTCGGTGTGTGTGTGAGTGTGTGTGTGTGAGAGTGCGGTGCGTGCGCCTGTGGGCGGGCGGGGGAGGGAGCGAGCAAGGGAAGGAGGGGCGGGAGCCGAGCCGGGCTGAGCCGGGGCCGGCAAGGGAGGCCGGGCGGGTGAGGAGAAGAGGGCGGTCGGGTCCTGGTCGTGCCCGGCGGGCGGTGCGGGCGCCCCAGGACCGCGAGCCGAGAGGCGGCAGAGGCTCCTCGGGGCCGGGGGCGAGAGGCCCGGTGAGGGCCGGGGCAGGCGGGCGGCGCTGGGCCCCGCCTGAGGGGAGAGCCGGGAGCGCACGGGCTGCCGAGGGAGGGCTGGGAAGGGCCACAGCAAGGGATGCCCAGGCGCTTTCCCGGAGGGGCTGCCTGCCTTGCGCCCTAGTGCTCCCCATCCCTCCTCCAGTGCCAGCGCCTCGGCATCATCCGCCCACTGTGCCATGAAGTGAAGAAAGGCAAGGAAGAGTTTAATCCCACACTAGGGAATATTAGGTCCTTCCCAACCAGCTCTAAAGGAAGGAACTCCAACGGAGTCTCCCGGTTTCATCCCTGGTGCTGTAGAAAGGCAGGACATGTCTGAGCTGCCCCAGCACAGAGCACAGCACGGGCAACCTGATGGGGAGCAGCCAGGTGTGTGCCGGACATCCCGCGTACCTGGAGCACCAGTCCTGAGCCACTTGCTCTGCACATCCACAGGGAGCTGTTGTGCTGGGTTGAAGCTGGGTTCTCTGAGGGGTTAGTCTTGTACCCATCTCCTTGAAACCTCCCTGTATGGATCCTGCAGCTCTTTTCTTTCTGCTGCTTTGGGGCTCACAGAACTATACAAAATGTAGAGAGAAAAGAGATATTAGGTCAAGTAGTCCATCTCATAGGCCCAGCAAAGACTGTTCTTCCCTTAATGTTTTACCTCTGATTTCAGCAGGTTGCTTTACCTTAGTGTTCCTCTGCTTTCTTTTTTAAATCTTAATCTTAGACTCTGGCACTGTTTGGGTCTATGTTCAGTTCTTTCAGGGATAATATTAAATGTGGTTGGCTTTGCATTTGCAAAATAATCAACCAGTGCCACTGGCTATAGTGTCATGTAAGTGGTCAAGACAAGATTGTGGCAGGTTACTGCACATATGCTAATGAACAACATCAGAGATGCAAACCACTACCCTTGAGGGAAGCCAAAAGCACAGGTGAAGAGCAGGGCATCACAGTCATGATGCAGGAGCATAACATATGGTTTTAGTGACATATGTGTGACACCTACTTACCCCGAGGTGCATAAATTGGTCACTACCTATTGTGTTCCTTTATGAGAATCATACCCAAAAGATGAAGTCTGTTCCAGTTCAGGCAGGGGCAAGGATAAGGCTGTGAGGTGGATGATAATGTTCCCTGTTTAGATTGTGATGGCAGGTGTCACTTTATCTCTTTTTAAGAAATGGTCATTTGTATGGACAGGTGGGTTAAGGTTCATCATTACATCCATGGTACTCCTGAAGTTCAAAGCACTCTATGCATATTATCCATGAATTCCTGGAAACATCTCCATGAAGCGTGATTATGTTCTTCCCTTACAGATGTAAAAACTTAAAAATCAGGGAAAGCAACCGGCCCAGCTCACCTAACCGGGAAGTTTCAGACCCAGGATTAAGATCATGAGCAGCAGCCCAGTTTCACTGTAGAGCACTCTGCTCCCAAATGTCCTTTGGTAAGGATAGCGGATCTGAAAACTACAGACAGGCACAGAAAGTTTAGACATTCAAGATAGTTGTCAAAATCACATTTTTATAACCAAATAATTTATCTTTCCGGTTCCAAACTACTTATCTTTTCCTATTTTGTACAGTGCCAGCCTATTTCTAATGCATTCTTCACAAAGTCCTGCTATCCTCTTTTTTTTTTTTGTGTCCTTTGCTAGCGGCCCTACTTTCTTCCTGTTCACTTGCTCTCACAAAGTTCTTCTCTCCATCCCTGCAGCTGAGTATTCCAGTCTGACTGCCACCTGCCACACTGACAGCTGATGGTGCACTGAAAAAAATATGAAAGAAATTATGTTTAACATTATAGGTGTTAGAACAAGAGAAGAGATAAAATAGGCCTAAATGAATGTGGCATGTGTCAGTCTCGGTTTCAAACACTGCCAGTAGGGTGGGTACCTTATCTCCAATAAAATGGTGCTTCACAGCCTAATCTCCAAATGGACAGTCTTGTGATAATCCAAAATACATCTGTGCTAAGAGACAAATGAATTTTCATTATCACACACATTTTTAATCCTGAAGCCCCTTGTGTGTTGTTATTATTGTTGTTATTATTAGCATTTTCAATACACACTTTGCTTGTTTGCTTATGCAGTCTGTTTCATGGCAGTCTTTGCAGATACAAATGGTACAGCAGCCATTCCATATGGATTTTGGAGAAATCCAAAGAGACCCCATCCCAGTTCATCTTTCTTACAATGAATCCAGTGTGTTCTAGAAAAAAATGGTAGGAGATTACTTGGCTTCATGTGGATATTAATGCCATGTAAATAGTTTATATACTTTGCTAGGGATGCTCAGTGACTCAAATTAATGAGTTCCATGGTAACTGAGGTCATACCAGATGCTTTCCCAAACCTTCCCTTACTAAATACAACCAAGATTTTGCAGGATAATCAAGCTTCATGTGTAGATGATCTGTAGTGTTCTGAGACACTGGGGATTCTGTGTACTATCTACCCATCAGGAGAAGGTAATGATTTATAATTAGCTAATGTGTTCTCCTTGTAATGTCTAATAGTAGATTAGAAAAATGCAATGGAATTTGGGACACAGCGTTCTCATTGTGCTTTCTGATGTTACTAGGCTAAACCCATAGTGTTAGCATAAAGTCACAGCAGAATCTACAGCAGGATTCTGTGACTGAAGCTTCATCTTAACTGCACTAAGCTGACTTTATCACTTTTGTCATTCCTTTCTCTAATTGTAAGAGAGATGCTCGGGCAGCAAGTTTTTAGAAATCATGGTACTTCTTCCAATATGAACCAAATCAGGCCATAATTGCCAACAAATGTTTCATGTGTCTTACAGCCTTTTTTGTTTGCTGGTTTTAAACTGGGTATTTATAAAAACAAGGGATACACAAATAACTGACCTTTATGTTAATGTCAGCATTTTGATTAGCTAAACTGATTATTCTACAGTAGAAAGTTAACAGATAGAGTGATAGTGGAGAGAGACAGAAACAAAGATGAAGAGGGATTCAGGGACAAGATGAGACTACAGATAAGAAGGAGTCAAGGGGAAAGTACAGTGTCAAAAGAGGGAAAATGAATACAGACATTACAGCTTCATACATTTTGGAAGCCATGTCAAAAGGACATGTAGTTAAGATTTGATTATATTATATTATGAGTGGCCATAGAACAAACTGTCGAAGCTCTCCTGTTTACCTTTCATTACCATGCAATAACAGAGACATAAAGTGAAATTAAAAAGCTGCAGACGAGAGACAGTTTAACAAATATTCTGCTGTGCAGTTTATAGCTAATCTATAAAGCTGTCTTCTACACAGTATTCTCAGCAAAAATAATTGTTTTTAAAAGTGTCAAATTTTATGTGAATTAGCAGAGTAAATGCATTAGACTAACTAGTAAAAAGCTATAGGGATTAATATTCAGAATTCATGGCAAAAAGTTGTTCCTGGTTGCCTCAAGAAAGACCTATTCCCTTATGCATGATGGGAGTTTACAGTGTGTCTAAAGCTCTGTAAAAGTTTTTTTTTTCTGGTCAGTTCTAGAGACAGGTTAGGAGACTGCTTGAATCATTGATTTGTTTTTATTAATTTTTTTCTAAGAATGGTTAACAGGCAAAATCCTGGAACTATGGAAATGTACAGTAGGTTTATTAGCCATACCATCAAAGCTAGAATTGTACCCTATACATCCTGGCAGAATAATAGGGTCTGGCACATAAGAATATGTTCTAGTACATGGAGTGATGATCAAGATTTGTATAGGAACAGGGACAAAGAGGGAACTTGTTCATAAATAATAGTCATTACTTCATTGCTGGAGTCTAATTCAACTTTAGGTAGCAGAAGCAAATTCATCCAGCAACTTTTATCAGAACTGAGCACGGACTGCTATGGTAATAACCTGTATCTATTACAATTGCACAACTAAGACACAAACGTGGAAACAGTCAGTACGTACAAATGTCTTCATATTTCTTGGGCTTGTGGTATCTTCAGGATACATAGTTCTAATTCTAAGAGCTATGGAGCTGCTGGAAATGTAGTGTTATTATAGTCCCATAATGTCAGAAACAATTTATATTACCTTCTGCTTTCCGATTAACTGTACACTAGGCACTGCTGGCATAACACAACCCTGCAATTCTTACTTAAACCTGTACTTTTGCTGTGCTCATCTGTATTTATTACATCAGGAAGCAGTAAATCAAATAAAAGGGTAATGGTAGCCCCTTTATACTGTTAATAAAGTGAATCCTCTCTCTTTTTATTATATACCTATGAATACAGTTTTCAAGCAATTGTGGGAGTTATATCCAGTTCATACCCATTTCAGTTGTGAAAGATATGACCACTGAATATTTAATTTTTGTATATAATTACTGAAATATACTGTTCTTAAAGACAATCTAGTTTAGCTCTAAGTAGTGAATAATTGCTTCAGATAATTGTTTGCCAATCAAAAGTCTATTTTCCTTCCAATGTGAATTTGTATGTTATCATAGCTCACCTCATCTCAGTTCAAATCTGCATTAGTGTCTTCTAATGAGAACATCTTTGGAAAACAACACATAGATTCTTAGAAATGAATGTTTAGACAAAAAGAATTTATGTTTTTCACTAGAGCTTTATGGATTTCAGATTTGTTCTTTTCCACTTGATCAGACAGAGACTCCTACCCTCCCTTAAGCCAACAGTCTGGTAAAGTTTCAGAGTTGACATTCAATTCTCTTCTAATTTCAAAGAATCTGTTTTACTTCTGGAGTGAGCCTTTGCAGCACTAGGGTATGGAATCAACTTTCTTTTTTTAGAATTCATTTGATTCATATAAATAAGGTATTAGTTAATATGGGAAGGATATTAGACAGAAAATGAACTTTAATCTGTCTCCTTTAGTCCTGGGGAATATAGTGTTTGTGGAGTATTGGTCTCTCCCTTGCTCTGTCACTGCCCAAGAAATATCACTTTGAATGTGAAAAGATCCTCTTTTGCAACTTGTATGGAAAAAAAGCATCTCCTTAGAAAACAGCCCAGAATCTGAGAAGGCAATAGAGAAAAATCATAGGAGGAGAGAGATATCCTGTTGCAACACTGTAGTGTAGCCCACAGGCTGGACGTTTTGATCTAAAACTTTTTGATTTTTTGATTTGCACTAAAAGATCTAATACTTTAGAGTCTTTAAATCATACTTTGTCATATTGGGAAGGACTTGCAGTGTCCATCTGCACAGATGAATTTCACCCAACGTGGTTTGTTTCATTGATTTCAGTGAGATAACTGAGAGCACAAAGATGGCTACAGTTGTACCCTTAGGTTGATGTGAATAACACAACATGGTACTGATAATCTCCAGTGTTCAGGAGACAAGCAAATCCTTCAGAAAGCCAGTGGCTTGTTTGAAAAGATGTGATATTAACAATATAGCCAATGTTAACAGAAGTGTTCTCATGCTTTATGAAACTTCCATTCCTGATTAAAAGTTGTTTGGTTTTGTAAGTCACACCTTGTAGCAATTGTGCTGGATCTTGGTAATTACAGTATAAAACTGATTGACTGTTTGATTGCTCTTTCAGCACAACAGAAGGCATAAGAAGTGAAAAAAAAAAACCAAACACAATTGCAGAAAGGTTTTGTAATAGAAATTCTCACCTTACATCAGTTTGAAGAGTCTTAAGCATTTTCCAATAGATCTGCAGTGGTCCTTATACAGCAAACTGAAGTTGACTGACAATAGCTTACTCTTCTTAATTACCTTTTGCAGACTCTTCAAAAGCAGCCCATGTGTTCTAGGAGTCCACAGACCTGATTTACAGGAAAAGAGATATTAATTTATTATCATCTGTTAAATGTTGTTTTAGTATCAGCTTATCCTGAAACTGCTCTTGAACATGTGAACTGCTAGAATCCTCTTTTGAGTTCTCCTGGGTCCTCATAAACACTCAATAATAGCCAAGCACTCAAGCACTAACATGAAGGTAAGATCACTGCTATCACTGAACATCTGTTTCTAGAAACTTTGTCTAAGCCATGATGTTGCTAAAGCATCCTGCTTTTGATGATGAAGCTCTGTGTTGTTTATACAGCCATTAATTTCAGGAAGTTTGAAAGCAGATTTCACAGTGTAACTACTCAGACAAAGTCCAGGAAGAGGCACCCATCTACTTGGTGTTCGCTGTCCCACAGTTCTTAGTGTTGCTTTTCAAAAACTGCATCAAATCCTCATCCAAGGTAGAGCACCTTAGATGAATGAAATAAGTTCTACTGTGGAGTGGTATAAATGGACTCTGTTTGACTTTTCTGCAGTGTAAATGCAGGGATTATATCTTGCATGGCACAAAGATTCTGATCAAGGCCTGCACACTAGTGAGTGGTCTGAGTAGTGGATTTAACTCCCTTGAGACTACAGTTTAGGCAGAAAATTCCTTTCATTTAAAAATGATTCTATAATCTTGAGTTTACCATTTGTTTTTACTGTTTAGCTGACTTGCATATGTACCCCATGAAGAATCAGGTTTCAAGAGCAGAAAATTAAATGAAAAAAAGAAGCACTGTGATTTTTCTTGGTTCAAATTATTACTTTATCTGTTATATTGCATTCTAGATATTACAGATATCAAATGTGATTGTTCCCCTTGCTACCACAGGCCCCTCTGGTGCTACAGAGAACTGTTCAGAACATGAGCACCGTAACGGATGCTCAGTCTCAGATAATAATTTATGTCTCTTGGCAAATAGAAAACAGTGAATGCAAATCAAGCCAAATCCTTCCTTTCCATGAGTCAGATGCTATTTTCTTGGTACTTGGGATGCAGTAACCAAGAGTTTAATCTAAAAACCATTACATTCATTAAGCACCATTCTGTTGACTTGAATGGTCTTTGAATAAAGCTAATGGCCTATTTTGTTCCTACATGTCCATAGTGTTGAGGTACAAGGGAGACTAGGGAACAACAGGAAAGGCAGGACTAGAATTTTTGTATTTGAAACATTTCATAAAATATTTGTTCATTATACATTGGAAAGTATAAAATAAAAAACCATGGAGTTTTTTTCTTTTTTTTTTTTTTTGAAGGAAAAGGTGGCAGAGAGGTCACTTTACAGCTCTACCTTGAGACCTGTCTATATAAAAATCTCTCCTTTTCAGAAACAGTAGCTCTGCCCCTTTACCTAGGTTATGACACTGACTGAGCAGCAACCAACTCCACAAGTACTTTCACAGTGATTAACCAGGTAATTAAATCCCAAAAAACAAGACAATTCAGGATTGTCTGTAAGACCTTCTTGTTAATCAGCTGTAGGTAGTTATGAGAAGGCTTAACTAAGAAGTAACCAGTCTTACACAAGGTTTCTTTGGGGCTGTAACACATTAAGTGTGATGTAGCAAGTTAAGGAGGAAATGCAAACACATAATTTTAGACTTAACTTTGAAATTTCTCACTTTTGTGCTGCAAGGCAGACCTTACACATTAGTTTGACATATTGTTGTTATTTGCAATGTAATCTTATATAATAATTAACTCCAACTGATCCACTGCAGTGCTTTAGCAAAGTATTGAGGCCTATTAAAATGGACTGTGAATACACAGTTGTTTTCCTTATTTCTAATATAATTATGCAGTTGAAGGGGAAAAAAACCAGATTAATGGGACGGCGTTGCTAAATAGGGTCCCTTGGTGCTGTAAATTTCTGGAGTGCTGTTATAAGGTTTTGAAGTATTAAGTATATATGAAAAGTGACATGCTGGAAATCTTTTGGAAAGCATTTGTTTCTGTTATTCTTTAGGGAAACATTCTGCTGTCAAAGGTGAAATCCAATGACAGCAGCACCAAAGGGTATGTTTTCACTGCAAGCTTATTCATAGCTTTAGGGCCACCTCATTGCACCAGCATCACACAATCCCTTATGCCTAAATATACATGAACTTTGAACCTCGCTTTGCCGCTGGAGCTGAATTCAACTTCCAAGTAGATCAGCACTCCTAAAGTTTTCAGTGAGGAGTTTGGCTTTAAGGCACATATGAAGTCATATGTTTGCTGCATACATGTGATTGGATTATGGATGCAGTTTGGAGGATAAATATTCTCTTTTATGGACTTACTAATATATTGAGAGCATGAAAAGCAAATATCTGCAGTAAGCAAGGAGGAGACAGGGCATTATTCTAATTGTGTATGAATTGGACCATAGCGAGTACAGTTTTTCAAGCTTTGCATCTTCTGGGCCCTGTAGTTTCTGAATCATTTATCTCCCACTTGGCTCTTGCTAGAAGCTACCTGCCAGTTTCTATACCTCTAGTCAGCATTTGACCCTTCGTTCCACATGCTCTGTCTCTTTTTGCAGAAGAATGCTGAAAGATGTCACCTCAGCAGGCTGCATTGTTGTAGATACAAAGTCTAGCTGTAAAATATGGCTCAGAGTGCCAGGAGTTGTCTCAGCTCCTGTTCAGTCAGCAGTCAATGGCACATCTGTGTACAAATAATTACCAGCCTAGTGATGTTTCTCTAAAAGGGCAGTTCACATACAATTTCTGGGGAGAGGACACTGCCTGACTAGGAAAAAGAGGCTTGGGGATGACACTGTAATTCAGAGAATAAAACTAATTCAGAAAAGGCAGAAATTGTTCTAGAACAGTCCATGGGTCAATATCTAAAGAAACTCCAGTCAGTGACAATTAGCAGCCTGAGAAATACCCATGCAGACCTACTTGTCAAACCCAAATAAACATCAGGCCATGATGGATGTCTCCACATAAGCACAGAACCATGTGAGGGTGATCATGCACTCTAGATATGTTCTGCTGTTTTAGCTCAGGCCACAGCCCCCTCGACTGCAGCATGAGCTTTACTCAAGCTAAAAGAGCTATTTCACATTGGAGATGACATTGGGAACTTAGTAACTGCTGAGATTTGTATTTAAAACAAGACCAGAATCCAGCTGTTTCACTTGTTCCCAGTGAATGCATTTTCCGTACTTTGCACAATAATGAACCAAAATTCAACTAATTTCTGCATATGTTCAGTATGCAGTATATATACCAGTTTTTTCACAAGAGATTATTCCTGTAGTTTTTGTATTTACAAATAGTCATTTGGCCATCCCCATAACTTTACATTCACATATGCCTCCTTGATTATGATACATTTCAAATGAGCTGATAGTGATCTTCTAAAATAGATACATGAAAATAATTTTCTCAGAACTGCAGCCGTAAGCTAAAACCTCAAAGATCAGCTGACAGCACTTCTCACATCCGTCAGCAACACTCATTTTTGATGACAAAACATAACTAACATTTCCAAAATTGGTTCACTGGGGAAGATCTACTCTCTGAATTTAGTTGGTGATCATCAAAAGGTTTTTGCTGAATTACTGAGGTTTTGGAACATACAAGACCACTTAGACTACTCAAGCCAACGGGAAGCTGAATGGCAGCTCTTGGTAGCAACAGCATTTTTCAAAGTTCACAGAGTGCCTCAAGGTCATCAGGCTAGATCTGATTGATTAAATCTAGAAATATAAAAATGTAAGCTTGAGATAAAGTTCTGGTCCCATGTACAGTGAATAAGATACCATCTTTGACATCAATGAACATCAGACTGGATTCCAAGTCATTAGATGACATGTAAAAAGAAGGAGGAAATACTATCCTAATTTTATTTTGATTAGGCCACGATCATCACATCTAAAAAGTCCATGCAGTACATATGTGTGTACATTGCCCACAACAGGAAATATATTTCTGATTCAAAAGGTTGAATGCTTCCAACTGACCCAGAAATAAATACTTCACAGCAGCTTTGTGAAAACAGCATTGTGGAATCCTATGTATCTCTTGATTACTTGTACCAAATATATTCCTTTTAAGATTAAAAATTCACTTAAACATTAAAATGTTCCCTACCTCTGGATTCAGATTATTAGAAAACTGTCTATATTCTCTCCAACCCTTACCCCCTTTGCCTAATGCTTTTCAGTGCTTCAAAGACATTGATAAGTATTCTCTAAATAGTCTAATTTTCTAAAAAAAAAGATTAAACCAAAAAGCCTTGCAAATTTTGGCAATGTACTTCCATCTTCAGTAGATCTTTTTGCTGAAGAAAGCATTACAGACCTCGGGATCTGTCCCTACAGTTTGTATGCTAAGTACTGAAATCATACAATAACAGTGTAGGAAGCCAAAAAGAATATAGATAGAAGCAAAGGGTTGGTAATATTTAAATATTTTGGTTGTTCAGCTATAGATTCAGACACTGAGCACAGATTAACTGGATTTGGAGCTATAGAAACAACTGTAACACAGCAAGGTCAGGGCTGAGTGAAGTGACTAGAAATCGATGAAATGTGTGAAGGACTGTGGGGGAACAGGGCAGTTAATCGTTTCAAAACTTTACCCTGTAAAATGGACTGTACAGGATCAATGACAGAGGAGATAATAAAACAAGCAGACTATACCTCTCTTCCATACAAAAATATGCTAGATTTGTGTTTGGTTTGATTAATACAGCAAAATTTGGCTTGCTAATTAATGGTGCTTTAATCCAAAGGTAGAAAAGTTATCTCTGGGAGCCTAGAGAAGGACTGTGCTTCATTTAGACTTCTGAAAACCTGTACAGATATTAAGTGCATATGCTTTGGGTGCAAGAAATGCTGACTGCTTGGCATCCATTTATTGGCAGTGGGTTATGCATTTACAAGCCCTTTTGCCTGCAAGCACCAAGGGATTAACAATGCACCAATTCTTTGAGCCTCAGGGCCTGATTCTGTATCACAGAAGTCAATAGAAGCTTTGTCATTGACCTCAA